GCCATCCCATCTGGCTGAGAGGGATGGGGCACATCTAGTGTCATCAATGCATTTTGTCCTATAGTGGACATTGTCAGGATGTATGCATATCAAGAAAGTGAGAGAAAAGCCAGAAGTCCTTATTCACATAATTGCTCTGGGCCTCTGAGTCAAAGTATCAAAAGCAGGATGTCAGAATGACAGCCAGGCAACCAGCATTTGCAAAATGATAGATCAGTAATCACAGCATCTACATTTCACTTATCAGACAGATCCACTGCTCACAGTTGCCCATAACTTCTTATACATAAGGTCATTGCTTAATTTTGCATGTCGTTTTAAGTACTGCTAAAGCTTGCTAAAAGCTTATCTAAAGTGAATATTTTTAAAAATAGTTCTTTAAGGGCAATATTTTTCATTGACAATGCTGTTGGTACAGGAATCTCTATCATAGTAACAAACATCAATACAAGCAAATTAAAGTGTATTTAAACAAAAAAAAAGTAATATATTGCAGTCCTTAGATGTGTTCTTTTTTCAAATTTCTTTCTTTATTTTTACTCCAGTCACTCTAATAACACACTTCCAGGTCTAGGATAACAAAAGTCACTCACCATTCTGTGTCAGAATAACAGAAACAATGTAGAGATCTGCTGCCCTCTACTGTTAGCTGCTAATATCATAGTGCTCTGTATAATTATGTTAGCACTTCCCTTCTCTGGGGGGGGGGGGGGGGGGTGGCTTAAAGATCCCGAAATGAGGAATTGGAGAGGGAAAGTGGAGCTGACACCACATGTCCACATACAGGAGCTGCATTACTGCAATACAGTATTTTATGTAGACTGGAAGCAGAGACTATTAGGTAATTGTTTTTATGTTCTGGCTGTTTAATTGCAGTTGTCCATAACTTCTTGATCTGAATTCTAGCGATAGACAAGTCTGTTTCCTGTTGTTATTATTTCACAGATAGCTAGGTCTACTACTGTATGTATGTAGTGGTCACTTCCAGTATATTAGTAGGTGAACCTGTTATGCAGCTCCTGTTATTTTAGTTATATGCAACTATTCTTATTTTAGTTAAACCTGTCCTTTCTGGTGTGGGTGTCTATATCTAGTCTATATCTAGTTTTAGGTTAAGCCCGATATCCAGCATAGGCTAGAGCCAGGTTAGGTATCTGCCAGCCACTTTTGGTAGTTACAGATCCGGTTCCATGTCAGATTAGAAACTGCTAATGAGGGACCTAAGTGCAGATTTGATAAGGTGACTGAGTTCCAGTGCCACACCACAGTTTCTATATGTGAGAAGCTGTGTTCCAGGCTGGTTAGACAACAGTTGAAGGATCTCCCCATCAACGCTGATCTTGTGTTTGGGTCTCCAACAGAAAGGCGGAAGCCACATCATCATTATCCTTTAGGGGCCCCTGCAACTGAGCTTTGCTGCAACATTCATCTGGAGGTATCTCTATTAATAACTATATATACCCGGGTATATGAGCACAATTCCACCAGGAATCCTATCCGGTGCTTTGCTGATAATAATACCTGTTTGTATATTGGATGTGTGTACTATTAATATTCTTTTCTTATGCAATGCTTGTATTATTTCCATACTGGTGTACATCTACAGTTGCAAGAAAATGTATGTGAACCCCTTGGGATTACGTGGAGTTTTGCATGAATTGGGCATAAAATGTGCTCTGAACGTCATCTAAGTCACAACAATAGAAGAACATAGTCTCCTGAACATAATACTACACAAACATTAGATGTTGCCATGGTTTAATTGCACATAACATGTAAACATTCACAGTGCAAGGAGGAAAAAGTATGTGAACCTTTCGACTTAATAACTGGTTGACCCTCCTTTGGCAGCAATAACCTCAACCAAACGTTTCCTGTAGTTGCAGATCAGACCTGCATAACGATCTGGAGTAATTTTGGACCACTCCTCTTCACAAAACTGTTTCAGAGTAGCAATATTCTTGGGATGTCTGGGTGTGAATCACTCTCTTAAGGTCATGCCACAGCATTTCAATCGGGTTGAGGTCAGGACTCTGACTGGGCCACTCCAGAAGGTGTATTCTGTGCTGTTGCAGCCATTGTTTTGTTGAATTACTTGTATGCTTTGGGTCATTGTCCTGTTGCATCACCCATCCTCTGCGGAGCTTCAGTTGGCGGACAGATGGTTGTACGTTTTCCTGCAAAATGTCTTGATAAACTCTGGAATTCATTTTCCCATCAATGACAACAAACCGTCCAGACCCTGAGGCAGCAAAGCAGCCCCAAACCATGATGCTCCCTCCGCCATGTTTTACAGTGGGGATGAGGTTTTGATGTTGGTGTGCTGTGCCTTTTTTTTCTCCACACATAGTGTTGTGTGTTCTTCCCAAACAACTCAATCTTGGTTTCATCTGTCCACAGTATATTTTGCCAGTAGTGCTGTGGAACATCCAGGTGCTCTTTTGCAAACTTCAAACGTGCTGCAATATTCTTTTTGGACAGCAATGGCTTCCTCCGTGGTGTTCTCCCATGTACTGCATTCTTGTTTAATGTTTTCCTTATTGTAGATGTGTCAACAAAAATGTTAGCATGTGCCAGAGATTTCTGTAGGTCTTTAGCTGACACTCTGGGATTCTTCTTTACCTCATGCAGCATTCTGCGCTGTGCTCTTGCAGTCATTTTTACAGGATGACCACGCCTAGGGAGAGTAGCAACAGTGCTAAACTTTCTCCATTTGTAGACAGTCTGTCTTACCGTGGACACATGAACATCAAGGCTTTTGGAGATACTTTTGTAACCCTTTCCAGCTTCATGCAAGTCAACAATTCTTGATCGTAGGTCTTCTGAGAGCTCTTTTCTGCGAGGCAGGGTTCACATCAGACAGTGCTTCTTGAAACCAGTAAACCCAAAACAGGTGTGTGTTTTTTAAGGGCAGGACAGCTGTCAGCAACACATCCAATATCATCACACTGATTGGAGTCAAGGTTGGCTCACTCCTGGCTCCAATTAGCTCTGGGAGAAGTCATTAAGCTAGGGCCTCACATACTTTTTCCTCCCTGCACTGTGAATGTTTACATGTTATGTGCAATTAAACCATGGCAACATCTAATGTTTGTGTAGTATTATGTTCAGCAGACTGTGTTCTTCTATTGTTGTGACTTAGATAACGTTCAGAGCACATTTTATGCCCAATTCATGCGAAACTCCACGTAATCCCAAGGGGTTCACATACTTTTTCTTGCAACTCTATGTACTTATGGCTAATGTTATATACTATTTGCAGTAGTTCCTCTGCTCCCAATTACTTTGATTACATTACTGGTTAATTTCCCAGCAAAGGAATCCCCTCTGTTCACAGAGGCCCTGACTTGACTGGAGGCACTGCCAATTTTATTATCAATCCTACTCTTCCACTTTGTGAAAGTTCTGTTTCTCTTGTTTACCTACAGTGGGTTCAGCAGCCCAAAGATCGCGATCTACCAGTAGATCGCGGCCAGGTGAGTGGTAGATTGCAATCTGGGCTTGCTGACCCACCATCCCAGAGCATCAAACTGAGTGTAATGCAGAGGGACTACTTGTAAAGTGGGAGCTGTAGTAGGGAGTAAGAGCCGCATAAGCTGACGCCTCCTCTGTAGTGCTGGCTCCTGTCACATGCGGAGAGATACCAACTGCACTCCACCTCTTATCCCAGCTAGCGGTCTCCAGAGTGGTTCCAGCAGCAGGAAAGAAGAGATATTCAGGACAGTGTGAAGCAATACACTGAGAATAATAGTATAGAGCTGCTTTCACACTGATGTGTAGAAATTTACCTACAGCGTGGGTGCAGTGCATTGTACCTGCAGCTTTTCTGCGGGTTTGCTGCACTTAGCCATAGACTTCTATTATATCCTATCTGAATGGAGGAGTTTTGGTGCGCTCTCAGAAAGTGCACCACACCTGAAGGATATAATAGAAGTATATGGCAAAGTGCAGAAAACCCAAGAAAGTTGCAGATGCACCCACAGTGCAGGTAAACCGCAGCACATTGGTGTGAAAGCAACCTTATTGGGGACCTAGAACAGTAGGGGTTAATTTATATTTGCAGTGTGGGCGGTGGTAAAACTCTGTAGTTAAGTAGTGTTTTTACCACCCTCACCCCAACCGTTCTTTAGCTTGAGTAACCAGGGGTGTACACATGTCACAGCCGCAGCAGGAGTTATACGCCCTTTCATGGTTGGTGGGTGTAGCATCTGCCAAGCATGACCCTTTCAAATGAATGAGGCTGCTCTGCAAGTGTCCTGCAACCTTGTGCAGTACAGCAAACAAGGGGTTAAAGCAGGCAGCATTGTTTCTTTTTCACCACTTGCTTTAACCCCTTGGACCCTGCAGAAGCATGCAGTTGCGGGGCCTTTGCAGAGTGGCCCTATTTACCGTATTCTTTGCTCCATAAGACGCACTTTTTTCCCCCCAAAAAAGGGGGGAAAATGTCAGTGCGTCTTATGGAGCGAATGTAAAGCGGCCGGTCCGGTATTTCTGCCGCCACCATGTCAGAATATCGGGCTGGCCACTCAGCTCTTCTCTCCTGCAGCACCTTACCAGTTCCTCGCTCCAGCGCTGCAGTCTTCCCGCGGCGGCTTCTGTGACAGCTGGGTGCCCACTGCGCATGCGCGAGAAGCGATGCGCTTTGTGAATGGTCCGGTGTCTTCTGGGACACATGACAGGTCCCAGAAGGCTCCGGGCCATTCACAAAGCGCTGCGCTTCCCGCGCATGCGCAGTGGGCACCCGGCTGTCACAGAAACCGCCGCGGGAAGAAGGAAGGACAACTCCGCGGAAGTGGGAGCGGGTACCTGTCAAATTCAGGTACCCGTTCCCCCTCCCTCCCCAAAGGTCCGCAGTCTCTGGTAATCTTTACTGTCTGCAGTCTCTGGTCATCCCCTGCACTGTCTGCAGTCTCTGGCCATCTGTACTATGTCCGCAGTCTCTGGTCATCTCCTGTACCGTGTCTGCAGTCTCTGGTCATCTCCTGTACCGTGTCCGAAGTCTCTGGTCATCTCCTGTACTGTGTCCGCAGTCTCTGGTCATCTCCTGTACTGTGTCCGCAGTCTCTGGTCATCTTCTGTACTGTCCGCAGTCTCTGGTCATCTCCTGTACTATGTCCGCAGTCTCTGGTCATCTCCTGTACCGTGTCTGCAGTCTCTGGTCATCTCCTGTACCGTGTCCGAAGTCTCTGGTCATCTCCTGTACTGTGTCCGCAGTCTCTGGTCATCTCCTGTACTGTGTCCGCAGTCTCTGGTCATCTCCTGTACTGTGTCCGCAGTCTCTGGTCATCTCCTGTACTGTGTCCGCAGTCTCTGGTCATCTCCTGTACTGTGTCTGCAGTCTCTGGTCATCTCCTGTACTGTGTCCGCAGTCTCTGGTCATCTCCTGTAGTATGTCCGCAGTCTCTGGTCATCTCCTGTACTGTGTCCGCAGTCTCTGGTCATCTCCTGTTCTGTGTCTGCAGTCCATTGGTTCAGAATATTTTTTTTTTCTTGTTTTTCTCCTCTAAAACCTAGGTGCGTCTTATGGTCAGGTGCGTCTTATGGAGCGAAAAATACGGTACTTGAAAAGGTCACGATTGGCAGGGGTTGGCACCCATCAAAAGCAACAAGAGGTTTAATTCCTGCTGCAGCTTGTGTACATCTTTACCTGCTTTTACGTGCCTTAGCAGGTAAGAATTGGGGATGGTAAAACTGACTCAACCGCAGGGTTTTACCACCCTCAAACTTTACTAGTGAACGAGCCCTACGGGTGCCACAGCTGAACACAGCTGAGTACTCACCCTAAAGTGCAGCACTGCTGCTTTTCTGAAAAGTAATCAGACTGTGTTTGACAGGTGGTGAGGAGGCGATATATTGCCTCTTCACAACCTGATCTAAACCCATGATTGCCGTGCAATGCATGCAATTGAGATGCGTTAGTATGGCAATTAGAGGTTTAAATCAGACGTGAGGAGGCGACACTGTGCAGCACTGTGTCCGGTGATCTTTGACTTCTCCCACTTTGTTCAGGTAGATGTCCACTTCTAAAAGGTTGCCTACCCCTGACCTACAGGTTTAAGCAATATCCTGTTTGGAGAGGGCCATTTGTCATAACCCCCCCCAAAAGAGGGCTACACAAGATAGGACTGCAGAACCTTGTCCCTTTTGTATTATTTATAACTTAGAGGGGCATGGTTCAGTAGTCCTCAGAGGTAGCTGAGAACAGTGGAAATGATCACAGTCAGCACAGGCAGAGCGCATGGGAAATTATTAGCTCACCAAATTTCTGGTAAAAACAAACAAACAAAAACACTTTTAATTGTATAATTATCAGGCTAAAAGGGACCAAATAAGAGAAGTTTATGGTAAAGATTTGCTTACACATTAACCACTTCCCGCCCAGACTATTTTACAATGATGGCCGGGCAGGATTTTCATCATTCTGGGTGGACATCATATGACGTCCTCCTGAAATGCTCCTTGCACGTGGCCGCACTGCAGCGCAATCTGTCACACACTATGTCTACAGGACAAGGCCAATCACAGATCACTGTACCGGGCTGCTGCCAATACCATGTGACTGCTGTGACCAATCACAGCAGATCACATGACAATTGTAAACAATTAATGGCTTCGATTCATGTCATTCATTGTGCACAATTGTGTTGCTAGCTGTGATTGGTCACAGTGATCACATAGTACACACAAGGTCAATCACATCCTATCTTTACCATGTGATTAGCTTTGGCCAATCACAGCTAATCACAACAATACACACTGAATTAATCAATTTTATTTCGTGAAAATGGTTGCTTATATTAATATTTTTTATTATAGAGGAATTTTATAGCGCCAACAATTTGCGCAGCGCTTTACAATATGAAGGTAGACATTACAGTTACAATACAATTTGGTACAAGAAGAAACAGAGGGCCCTGCTCGTTAGAGCTTACAATTTAGGAGATTGTACCAATGAAATTCACTGATATAAGCAATCATAATGTGTAAAAAAAACCCCCAAAAAATTCTGATCACTTCCCCAGAATAGTACAATGTTACTGTGGTAACACTAAATTGCTCTGGTCACAGTGTGTTAAAAAAAAAGAACAAAATGTAATAAAAATGTTTATTATTTTTTTTTTTTTTTTACATACTGTCACCAGTCAGTTTCCCTGATCATCGTAACACCAGTTATATGATGATGCTGTACTGCACTGGTGACAGTATGTAAAAAAAAAAAAGAAATTGTGAAAATATTTTTCTTACATTTCTTCATTTTCAAAAAAATTATGACAAAAAATTACAACTTCAAAAAACTTGCCATGCCTCCTACTAAATACCTTGGACTGTGTACTTTCAAGAAAGGGGTCATTTGGGGGATATTTGTACTGTCCTGACATTTTTGGGCCTCAAGAAATGAGATAGGCCCTCAGTACATCAGGAATGATTAATATTCAGATATGCTGTAGTTTGTAGACTCTAACTTTCCTATAGACTAAATAATAAACTCTGATTTGGGTTATTTCCACCAAAGAAATGTAGCAGAATACATTTTGGCCTAAATTTATGAAGAAAGATTATTTATTTGCAAAACATTTTTTCCCCAAAATTGTCAGTCTTTTTTATTTTATTTAGCAAAAAAAAAAAAGTGGCGAAAAAAATAATAAAAATTTCATATGGGTACAGTGTTGCATGACCGCGCAATCATAATTCAAAATGCGACAGCGCTGAAAGCTGAAAAGTGGCCTGGCAGGAGGGGGGTGAAAGTGCCCAGTATTGAAGTGGATAAAGCGGAACTAAACTACACTTGAGCACCACAAAACAAAAGTGCTGTTTAAAGCAGAGCTCCACCCAAAAGGGGAAGTTCCACTTTAAGCTTTTGTCCCCCGCTTCCCATTAAGGATAGGCACCTTTGGGGAGTGGGTGCTCAAATTTGACAGGGATCTGCTCCCACTTCCACTGCAATCGCCTAGGCTATCGGATGCGGGATATTTTCTTCCCCCTCCCTCCCTGTAGTCTTCTGGGCCACGTGACAGGACCCAGAAGACTACGCGGCCATTCACAAAGTACAGCACTTCTCACTCATGCGCAAGCTGTCACAGCCGGGTACCCACACTGAAGATGCCGGCACCAGGGAGAGAAGACGGTCAGTGAAACAAGTGGTGGTGAGGACACCGCTGGACCGAGAGACAGGTAAGTGTCTGTATTTTAAAAGTCAGCAACTACAGTTTTTTGTAGCTGCTGACTTTTTTTTTTCCCAGGTGGAACTCCGCTTTAATTAATTTTTAATATTCAAAGTAAACTCCCCCATCCATGTTTTCATGCTTTATTTTGCTGAGAAATCATTTACAAAAACACCCCTAACATTTCTGTCAGGGGCAATCTTGAGTAAGGGAAGATGATTCATGTAGCATTTACTTCCTGGAATCCATCTACCCTTAGCTCAGGCATGCATACATGATAGTGTGCTTATCTGAGAAAGCCCCTTCTCCACTCCTGAAGACTCCTAGGATGTATAACATAATTTGCCTAGGCATGGGAACTAGGAAGTAACTAAAGAAATGTACAAAAAAAAAAAGTTTAAAACGAAAGTAAATATAATGTACTTTCCTGTCTATTTATTAATGCTAGCAGCATAAGGATTCAAAATAGTCAATGTTTTTTGAGAGAGTGAAGTTGCACTTGAAGTAGGTATAGGGGATTAGGACCTCTGTCAGCTTAAGGCCCAGTTCACACTACTGCGGTCCATGTGGCTCGTGTTTGCATCAGCTTCCAGTTTTTGTTTTATTTGGCAGAGCTTAATTGAACATGCTGAAGTTTGGAGCTGACTGGCTACCATGCACAGCTGCAGCAGATTCTGAGTGCTCCAGTTTTAGTAAATTCCCCCCCACTGTGTGTTGCATTTCCCAAAGGAGGTTATTTTATTGTGTTGTGGCTCACTTTGGGCCTATTAAAAGTGAATGGGCATGAATGTAGTCCTTTACTTATTTGTTCTGGGGTCAGATGAATGTCTGCACTAATTCCTAAAATAAGATATATACTGACAGCATATTATATCAGCTGTCCCCTAAATACACTTACTATCCATTTTATTAGGCACACCTGTTCAATTGCTTGCTAACACAAATTGCTAATCAGCCAATCACATGGCAGCAAGTCAATGCATTTAGGCATCTAGACATTTAAATTACTTTGAACGTGACATGGTTGTTGGTGCCAGATGGTCTTAGGATTTCAAAAACTGTTGATTTGCTGGGATTTTTCACGCACAACCGTCTCTAGGGTTTACAGAGAATGGTCCAAAAAAAGAGAAAATATCTAGTGAGTGGCAGTTGTGTGGATGAAAATGGCTTGTTGATGTCAGAGGAGAATGGGCAGACTAGTGTGAGATGATAGAAAGGCAAAAGTAACTCAAATAACCACTTGTTACAACCAAGGAAAGCAGAATACCATCTCTGAACACTTTCACAATGGAAATTTCGCATTGGATATTGGGAAGAAATTACCTGGTCTGATGGGTCTCGATTTCAGCTGTGACATTCAGATTGCAGGGTCAGAAGTTGGTGTAAACAACATGAAAGCATGGATCCATCCTGCCTTGTATCAACGGTTCATTGATGTGCAGCCGACAAATCTGCAGCAACTGCATGATACTATCTTGTCAATATGAACCAAAATCTCTGAGGAATGTTTTCAACACCTTGTTGAATCTATGCCATGAAGAAGTAAGGCAGTTCTGGAGGCAAAAGGGGGTCCAACCCAGGACTAGCAAGGTGTGCCTAATAAATTTGCTGTGAGTGTATATGTTTTCTAATTTGACTCAGCTCAATATTTCACTTTATTAGCTACTCCTGTGAAAGAACTTTGCATACTGGATAAGTCTTCCTCGGTGTATAAAATGGAAGAAGGAAAGCTGTAAATCATGAGAGATTAATAGTATATTAAGGAAACTTTCCTTCCAATCAGATCTTTTGTAACACTGAGGTTGATTTACCAAAGGCAAGTAAGTTTTCAGTTTGCATGGGAATGTGCACCAGAGCTTAGTGAATGAGGTAAAGCTCTGTGAACTTCCACCATCCAATCATGTGCAAGAAAAAGTGTTTTTTGTGATTGGGTTTTCTTTGCAAAGTAAAATTTCACCGTTTTCACTAAGCTTTGGAGTAATTTCCTTGCAAAGTGAGCTACCTATTTACCTTTGGTAAATCAACCCCATTGCACCAATCTGCCAATGAGATACTTCACAGATCATGTACAGTGAGATTTTCATGCTATCATTCATGTTGCTCAGCAATCATCCATATATGATGACCAAAAGCTAAACCTTTTGATTGGTAATAATAGTTTTTACAATAAAAACAAACCATTAAATTACAGTGTTCAAGCCTCGGCTTGCTGTAAGATTTCTGCTTTATCGTCCTCTTAATGCTGATAAGATCATGTTTTCCAGTAAACAGAATATATATTTAAAAAAATGCAAATCAAAAACAGATGTGTAAGTTATAATGTCATGATTGAACTAAAAAAAATTAAGTTTACTTGCCCTCCAGA